GGGCTCTAAATCAGGACCCAGACCTAAGGCCCTCTTGCAGAACGTGTTTGGTGGTAACCAGACCAGTAAACTCCCTACCATACTGGATGATTGTCTAAGTAGGTCTCCTCCAAATAAAACCAGGTTGCTGGAAGAAACAGGTCAACCCTAGCAAAGCGGAGGATGCTGCTCTCACTCTCTCTCACTGTTCCTCCTCCTAATCGATGTGAGGGCTTCTCCCTCATTTCTCAGGTTAATGGCTGTAAGTGGAGCCAACTGTGGTTAGTCTCCCTCAGGACAGGGACTTTAAGGAATATTCCCAAGCAGCTGCTGAAACTCTCTGTTTCAGGGAAGTTCCCTGTCTTCTCTGGCCTGACATGGACTGCCTAACCCCACTCGTTGGTGGATAAACATGGTGTTTACTCATTGTCCAAGTGGATGAGCTTTAGAACTGGGAACCCATTTCCTCTGTCCTCTGGCTCTTTGCCTCTTCTGTCTGCCCCACCCCCTCCTTTTTCTGTATCTTGGGTATGGCCTACATACACTGCTCACTTCACATTCCCCACCAGTGTCTCATTGACAATGGGGAACAAACTGACTTTTAAAAGTGGACCCAGGTGGAACATAACTTGGTATTTAAACTAAGTTAAGTTTGTTGGTTTGATTAAGATAGACATGTCTTTAAAGTTATCAGCATTAAATGTGAAACTTTTATTCTGCCAAGGTTTGCTGAAGGTCAAATAAGCTCGTGTTATCTCTGTTGCAATTTGTTAGCAAAAAGATGACTAAAATGATGGTTAATTGTCCCATCAAAGTTTTCATAGAGAATTGTTAAAATAGCTTTCAAAGTCTTTGGGATTGAATTCATTGGACATCTAGGTCTTTTCCAAATAGGATAAGGTGCTAAATCATTGATTACTGGATGTAGGTTTGTGCTTTTGACTACTTATTGCAGAGAAACTAAAGATATTTAAATCTGCTGGCAAACATGCTTTGTGCTTAACTGGTTCATAAATTTGCCATCTAAAGAATTCTGGTGTGACAGTTCACAATTGGTTACTACTTAGTCTTCACTGGAGACTAAGATTTCTAGGAGTGTAAAATTCGGCAACTCTGTATGTAGAAAAGTAGGAGATATGTAAGAAAGATATAAGGAATGGGAATACATTTTTGTTGAAGGCAAAAAAAGGTAACTTTTTCCTAAATAAGATGATTATTTGGAGAGAAATGGCTTGGGACAAAATCTGAATGCAAAAGAAAGTTGTAGGTTTGTGAAGGGAAATCTTTGAAGGGAATTTTAGGTGTGGTCAGGATGGGCTAAAATTAAAGGGATTTTAAAGTACATTGGGGGGCGCCTGGGTGGCTCAGTTGTTAAGCGTCTGCCTTCGGCTCAGGTCATGATCCCAGGGTCCTGGGATAGAGCCCTGCATTGGGCTCCCTGCTCCGCAGGAGGCCTGCTTCTCCCTCTCCCACTCCCCCTGCTTGTGTTCCCTCTCTCGCTGTCTCTCTCTCTGTCAAATAAATAAATAAAATCTTAAAAAAAAAAAAGTACATTGGTATAAGATCAAAAGTCTGCTATCTCTCTGTTAAAAAGACAAAGTTTTCTTGAATTGTTGGTGCTCTTGATAAAATGTAAACAGCTATTTTTTCTTTTTTGTCTGCGCAGAAAGTTTCTGTGTTTTTCCTTTCTCAGGTCTTTGATGATCCCCAATCCTATTTAGGCATGTGCTTTAAAACTTTCTAAGGTTTTAACAAACTTCCCCAAGATTTAAATCATGAGCAAAGTCTTGTTGACTAATTAGACTTGTTTGTTTGGTATGGTACATTCTGGCATAAGGTCATTATCACTCCATATTCTAGCTATTGAAGTGTTACGTGTCACAGAAATAACCAGATTTCCTTGCAAGCTATGTTGTAACCTCTCATCAGATCTTTAACCATGTCCGTTCAGAACTTTTATCATTTTTAATTGTTCTTATTCTCTTGCAAAATGAGTTTCATCTTCAAGGAGGTTCATAAAAAGGACTTCAGGACAAATACAGATATTCAGTATCTTTAAGATCAAAACTGAAATGGGTAAGAATTTCCAGAACTAAAGCTGCATCCAAACTAAACAAGAATAGTAGTAACATGGGACTAAGTGAATTGGGAAAAAAAAATGATTATGGGTTTTTGTAACTCTTGGTTACAACATTGCTGGTTCTCTAATGTTTGCTCTCCCAATTAAGAAAACTTTTAAGATATCTATGACTTTCAGAAAGTATTCATTTGTAAACAGATTGAAGCATTTAACTTTTCTCTACCTGAACCCTCTGAAATTCAAAAGGTCTCAGTAAGTATTCTTTCTTCCATGGCAATCATAGTCATTTGCATAAGTTCAATAAGAATCTGTTCTTGTAACAGGACACCATTGGAAACATTGGTTATTTTACCAAGGCTTTGACTGGAATATCATATTTGATAGAGACATGCATAGATTCAGATATGACCAGACAACTTTGAGGAACTAAGGCTGACTTTATGAAACCTGGAGCCATAAAGCCCCTTGGAACTGATACCTTGTTTACAGTGTTCCCAGCAGCCTCACCAGGTGAGTAAAGAATGTCACTTCCTGGCAGGTGCAGGAACCTCAGGATACTTTGGGGACCTCATGAAAAGGAATCCACCCACATCTACAGGTATTGCAGGCATGTCTGATGGCAAGTACTGGGCTTGGCTTCTGGCCTGGAGAGGCAAACTAAAAGTTTAACCTAGAGATTCCTTATAAAAGTTCCAGCAAAGCAGATTTTAAAAGATCTATATGATCATTCTTGCTGAGCTTATGTAAATAATTATGCCGTTTGTTAAAACTGGACTTGTTTTTCAAATAAATTAGTCTTATTTGGCTATCTCTGGAAATGAGGGTTATTATAAAGAGAAATTATGTTTCTTTTTTAAAGATTTTATTTATTTATTTGACAGAGACAGACATAGCAAGAGCAGGAACACAAGCAGGGGGAGTGGGAGAGGGAGAAGCAGGCTCCCCACTGAGCAGGGAGCCCGATGCGGGGCTTGATCCCAGGACCCTGGGATCATGACCTGAGCCGAAGGCAGACGCTTAACGACTGAGCCACCCAGACGCCCCAGAGAAGTTATGTTTCAATAACACACCTTTGCGGATGCTAAATTTTTGTTCTGATTGTCTTTAATGTTGTTTGCCTAAGCTAGACAACTTGAGGTAAACTTCAGAGCAATTGCCACAGTAGCTCATGTATAGACAATCTCCTTGCTTGTTATTCTGTGGGGATAACATGACCCCATGGGCATATGATTCCTCAAACAAATGGGAATGGGATAGATTGCTCAACAATTGTATAACTCAGCTATCACCTGGACCAACTCTATGTGGCTGGGATGACAAAATCGCTCTTTAAAAGCCAGAGGGTAGGGGCGCCTGGGTGCCTCGGTCGTTAAGCGTCTGTCTTCGGCTCAGGTCACGATCCCAGGGTTCTGGGATCGAGCCCCGCATCGGGCTCCCTGCTCCACGGGAAGCCTGCTTCTCCTTCTCCCACTCCCCCTGCTTGTGTTCCTTCTCTCACTGTGTCTCTCTCTGTCAAATAAATAAATAAAATCTTAAAAAAAAAAGCCAGAGGGTACCCCATGGAGATAATGGATGGCCCCACATTATGATTAGATTGGATGATGCACTTGGGGATGCCCTTATCTCCTGAGACAAGTCTTCTCCCATTTGCCAGTGATTCCTTGTAATTAGGATATTGTTAAGGCTGGACCTCAAACAAAAAGGGCTTCTTGATGGTTTCATCCCTCATAGTCTTTTATCCTAGAAGCCACCTCTACTGACATACGATTGCAAACAAAGGCTTTAACCAAGCATACAACAACCCTCCTGGTAAAAAGAGTCTCAAAGCTCACTATGGGACTTCTAGGGCTTACGTTAGGACTGCAATATAAAATAAGCAAAACAGTATGCTTGCTCAGCAGGACTCTAAATGATACAACCCAGGCACTGGGTGCCCTCAAGCCAAGAATTAAATGAAGTTAGAGAAGAAATTCTCAAGAATTGCGCCACTATTGACTGAATTTCCTCATGTGTTTTAACATTACAGTTAACTCCAATTAATAGGGGACATTTGTGATCAATTAAGATCAAGATATCCACTGATCTATTTGACAAAATTGGTAAATGGGGATCTTATATAAGGGATGTGATCATAATTTGGGGCCTAATAATTGTTTTATGTTCATCCTTTTGCATGTGCTGATGCAAGTACTGTTTGCTGCCCATCATGACCCACCTGGAGCCATACACAAACCCCTGGACCAACCCCTGGATAAATTCTAACTGCCATACAGCCCACCACCCCATTTCAGCAGGAAGCAGCCAGAGCAGTCATCGTCCCATGGCAGTTAGGGTTACTATTCCAGGGGGAGGAATGAGTAAGGGACAGGCAGGGCTGGGTAGGGAGAGACACAATAGGGGGCTATGTGATCAGGCTCACAGAAATCCCAAAAACGTGGAGGTGTGGGGAAACCAGAGATCAGGGGACAAATCAGACAACCCTACCCTAGGACCACCCTGCCCTAGGCATGGGGGGGGTGTGTGTCTTTTTTTATGATAATCACCTGTGACCAACAAAGAATAACCAGACCCTAGGGAGAGGTGGGCCATTGAAGGTGTTTTCACTAGTCCTTGCTCAATGGTGATATCAGTAGAGATGTTAAAAGGGTTTAAGTTCCCTGGTTAGCTTTCTATAAAAGACCAACCCTAAAGGCCCTCATTGGCAACCCTGTTGGGACCCCTGTCTTGAGAGATTTTTCTGTATCTTCACTAACTTCTATCCCTTTACTCACTCTCTGTTGTCCGCGAGATTCATTCTTCGACTCTGTGAGACAAGAACCTAGCTCACCCGCATCACCAGCCCTGGATAATGCCCTAAGATAGTGTTTATTAGTAAAATGACAACAGTTCCAGTTTCCGGACTGAATTGGCAGTGAGTGGAGCCTGAGGTTCCTGAGGCCTGCGGGGCCTTGCTGGAGATGGACAGCTGGATTCCTTATGATGACTATCCCGTGGTCTTCCTGCCTGCCTATGAGAATCCCCCAGCATGGATTCCACCTCATGAGAGGGTATATCACCCAGAGTACAACAATGAGTTGACCCAGTTTCTGCCCCGAATTGTCACACTGAAGAAACCCCCTGGAGCTCAGTAGGGATTTTTTTTTTTTTTTTAAGATTTTTATTTATTTGAGAGAGAAAGAGAAACAGCATGAGAGGGGAGAGGGTCAGAGGGAGAAGAAGGCTCCCCATCAAGCCAGGAGCCTGATGAGGGGCTGGATCCCAGGACTCTGGGATCATGACCTGAGCCGAAGGCAGTCGATTAACCAACTGAGCCACCAGGCGCCCTCAGCTGGGATTTAATATTCTAGGAGGAAAGGCCTCCCAGCTAGGCATCTTTATCTCCAACGTGATTCCCGACTTGGATGCACATCAGGCAGGACTTCAGGAAGGGGACAAAGTCCTAGCTGTGAATGATGTGGATTTGCAAGATATTGAGCACAGCAAAGCTGTTGAGATCCTGAAGACAGCCCGTGAAATCAGCATGTGTGTCCGCTTCTTTCCCTACAATTATCGTCAAAAAGAGAGGACTGTACACTAGAGAGTTGCAGCCCATAGTCCTCCACAGGGAATCTTCTAGGACAAGCTGGTTAGGCCTCAGGGAAGCCTCTTGGGAACCTCAACTCTTGGCCCCACCCTGGCAGAGCAGCTTGGGGAAGATGGGGACACAGTGAGGCCCTGCCACTGAGCCAGCTAGCCAGCTGCATTACCCAAACTGTACTGTACTCCTTGTTCCCTCGTTCTGTAGGCGAGCTTCATTCCCTGAAATGGGAAGGATGGAGATACCTAGGTATAGCCTGTGGAGAGCCCGGCTAGAAAAGGCAACTGACATTTATTGAATATCACATGCTAGACAACTACACACGTGTCATATCATGTTCATCAGAGTCTAGAAATCAATAGCAAAAAGGATCCTGGGGGCCTTCCATCTCGTCCCTTCATTGTACTACCAGTCTTAATCACTCCAGAGACTCCTTGGGACTGTTCCCCCACCCCCATTCTCTCTCCCCCAAAATAGTAAAAAGCAATGCTGGGGTGGTGGGGGGGAAGCAACACGACTACATCAGGAAGCAGAGATAATAGGATATAGTAGAAATTGTTTATGAGACTTGGACTGGAGAAACTTTGTATGAGTTCAGGAGATCCCCAAGATTACCCTCAGGTTCAGTAAATCACTAGAAAGACTCACTCTTGTCAGGCAAGACATTCCAATAGCTTACAAGATTACCTCCCAGGAGCCAGGGCAAAGGGCCAAACCTTTCTTTGGGTAAGAGTAATCCTTTACTAAAAAGCTTGGTATGTCAAATATCCCTTCTATGGGTGCTATGTGAGGGCTTTGTAGCCTCCAAGAGTGTGTATAACCTCTACAGAACTCCCCCAAATTATAAAACCTTCTTAATGCCTAGACTCAGAATTCAGAACATCACATCTTGTGTGTTTCTATTGGATAAAGTAAGTCAGAAATTGACCTAGATTCAATGTGGGAAGGGGGCTACACAAGAGCATAAATATCACGAGGTGTGGTTCACCAGGGCCACCTTTGGAGACTGCTTACTATGGTCCTTTCTTATTTCATAATTTTAATTCCAGCGTAGTTAACATTAAAGCATTTCTTATGGTGAGTTAAGTGTGAGTTTTTAGTCTTTTCCTTCATGTCCTTTTATATAGCAAGGTTTGTAAAAACAAAACAAACAACAACAACAACACACCCCAAACCAAGGTTTGTGTTCAGACTACACTGTCATTGGATTCATTCTAATTATGCTCCTTCTCATGAATGAGGGTTTTCCTGTGGATCTGTCATGGTTTTTGTGGGACTCTGGATGAATCATCACATTCTAGAATTCTCCAAGTATGAATTATCCCTGGTGAATCTTTGCATTATCATGCCCTGAAATAGCTCTTCATGATCAGTTTTGAAGTGTTGTGTTTTTAGTTTGGATTCAGGCCTAGTCCCCTAGATTTTGAAAGACAAACAGTTTTCTGGGGGGGGGGGGAATAAAACTAACAATAAATTTTATAAGAAATATGTAGTTCTCCCACTCCCACCCTGACAAGGCCCATTCATGACCCTGAAGCCCAAGGAAAGAATGTAAGAGGGAAGAACCCATGAGCAGAGGACAAAAGTGGTTGTAAATGATGTTGCCTTTTGGTTATTCAAGGTGAACAGAGAGAGGATACCTAGGCATATTGGATGGAGAAAAGGTTGACAAGGAAATTAAAAAGAAGTCATGGTCCTTGAGTCCCAGGGGACTAGGTTTTGAAAATGATGTGGGAGAGCTAGGTTCTTGTCTCACAGAGTTGAAGAATGAATCTCATGGACAACAGAGTGAGTAAAGGGATAGAAGTTTATTAAGTGAAGATATAGAAAAAGCTATCAAGAGTGAGAGGGTTCCCAACAGGGCTGTCAATGAGGGCCTTTAGGGTTGGTCTTTTATAGAAAGCTAACCAAGGAACTTAAACCCTTTTAACATCTCTACTGATATCACCATTGAGCAAGGACTAGTGATAACACCTTCAATGGCCCACCTCTTCCTAGGGTCTGGTTATTCTTTTTTGGTCACAGGTGATTATCATAAAAAGGACAGCCACCCCCCACACCTAGGGTAGGGTGGTCTAGTTTGTCCCCTTATCCCTGGTTTCCCCACACCTCCACGTTTTTGGGATTTCTGTGAGCCTGATCACATGGCCCCCTATTATATCTCTCCCTACCTAGGGCTGGCTGTCCCTTACTCAAAAAGACGGATCAAATTCTGGAGTCTGGATCATCTCTGATTCTAGGGATTTTTAATCTGAAGTCAGTGTAGGAAGGTTTTAGGGAGCTTCTGAACTCTACATAATTGTATATGTAAAATTTGGTGTGTATCTATAGGTCTTTGTGGGGAGATAGTCTATGGCTTTTTTTTTTTTTAAAGATTTTATTTATTTATTTTGACAGAGAGAGAGATAGCGAGAGCAGGAACACAAGCAGGGGGAGTGGGAGAGGGAGAAGCAGGCTTCCCGCCGAGCAGGGAGCCCAATGTGGGACTCGATCCC